GGAAGTTAATAGTATAGAGTAGTAGTTAGTACCTAACGGTACGTGGTAATTGGGTATGTGTAGTGTGTGTGGTCGTGTAGTGTGTAGTGGCTATGTGTGTGGTTGTAGGTGTGTGTGTGTGGCGTGTGTGTGTGTGTGTCTGTGTGAGGTGGGAGGAGTTGTCTTTTAGAAGGCGTGGTCATGGAAGGCCTCCTCAGAACTAGGAGCAGAACGAGAAAGGAGGAGAGAGTGACAGTGGAACGGAGAGCGTGGAGAAGGGCAGCCCAGGCAGAGGGAACCATGTGTGTGAAAGGCTGCACGTTGAAATGAACTTAAATGATGGAGGAGCAGAAAGAAGGCCAGGTGGCTGGAGAGCAGGGGGTGAGACGGCAGGGCAGATGGCAGGATCCACTAGGTTCCACGAGGAATCCAGCTTTTAGTCTAAATGCAGTGGGGAGTGAGTGGAGATAGTGAAGTGACCTCTGCAGGCACCCACAAAAGAGAGATGCAAGAGTAAGTGGGGAGCAGGCTGAGTGGGACTCTGGATGGAAGATCCCTCCAGCCTGGGCAGAGAAAAGAATTAAAGTGAAAAGCATGGGGCGAGATGTACCGTGAGGTCTGACTCTATGGATGATGCAGGGACTTCCAACTGCTTTGGACTTGGGACACATTCCTATTCACTCCATGAGCACAGGGATTACAATTTAACAAAACGTCATTTGGAAATATATCTGAGGACTTAGCCAGAACATGGGCGATGACACTTAACACAGGCAGAGAGAAAATTAAGTGAAAGATGGCCCAGCTCCTATTTGGCCATTTCAACCTTCACAATTCACGACAATCCCTTCCTTACCTACAAGTCACTTATGTAGGGTGAGCCTGTCACTCAGATACGCAGCTCTTTTCGGAGAAGAAGAGATTTAGTGTTCAGTGGGATTACAAGGGAAAAGGGCACCAGCTTTTAACAGAATTTATAGGCAACTCTGCAGAATTAATATACCATTTCTCATGTGGCCCACGACCTTATCTCCCTGTCCTCACTCTCCTTTGCCCAGGTTCTCAGGAATCTTCATAAAGTAAGTTTTCATTGCTTTACTCCTCTGATGAAAAATTTTAATAGTTTATTACTACTGACTGGACAAAGGATGTAATTTTCAAACTTCACAGTCTGACTCTTAACCCATCTTCCCAGGATTCTTAGTAACTACTTTCCCCAAAGTCAAGGGTCTACTCCCTCTTCCAGGAACAGTTACTACCTCCATTTCACAGATGAAGAAATTAAGAATTAGGTCCTAAGTTCTTCATGGTCAAAGAGCTGGTATGTGCTGCAGCTGGTAGTAGAATCCCGGGGTGGGGGACTGCCCAGTCATTCCTCAGAAAGTCACAGCTCATGGATTAGCTCTGGGGTGTATTTTGATAAGGCCTCTGCCCTACACACTCTGTGTTATTTCGCATCTGCTGTGTTAAGTCAGGCTTTCCACCTGCAGCTCCATGGACAAATACAAGTGACAGTGGCCTTGCCCCTGGATGGCCTGGGCGTCAGTGGCTGATGCCGTGCTCACCTGTCTGTCAAAGGCGTGATCACCAGGCGAGGTGTATTTCCCAGGTACTCATAGGAATACAGAAACTGGGCGTCACAGATGTTGGCAAAGCAGTGCTTGGCCTCGTCATCCCAGCGATGCCGCAGCTGGGACAGCCAGAGGAAGGCCTGGGCACTGTCCACCTAGAGGGAGACCGGCAGAACAGGTGGGTGAATCACAGGATTCAACAGGTAGCAGGAGGCCCTTGGGCCACAGGATACACAGGGCTCCGGATGACTTGGGTGTTGTTTACCAGTCAAGAGAGCAGCATGCTGCCCACCACAGCACAGAAGGCATGAGCTGATTGGATTACAGTTTTGCTAGAATTTAAAAGGTAGGCGCAGCCACCACAATCCTCACCCAGCTCTCTGGCCAGTGCTGAGTCTGGGGGCCCCATGTTCTGGCCACATGTGAGTTGGCCTAACCCAAATTTTTGTGGTGCAGCTACCCACAAAGAGTGACACTCTGGCAAGTCTGGGCCTCACCTTCTGAGCGATCATCTGGGCCACCACATCCCGGGCGTGGACGTCGATGGTACACATGGTCATGATCTTCTGCCTGTCCCCCTCGGAGAGCTGGCCCATCAGCATAGTGACGAGGGTTCTGAGCTGAGCCACTTGCTTCTTGTAATAGTCCTTCATGGCGTTCTCATAGCCTTCCTCCAGCCTGGCAAATGCCACACCCACCTCTGTGGTCCACCAGATCTGAGTGCAGGTCAGGGCCACCTGTGGTACCAAGAGTCACTCAGTAAAGCCATTATCAGGACTGTCTCCAAAACCAGCCCACTCGTTACTCAGCAGAGGCTCAGAATGTAACTATGGGGGTGACGTATGCCCCTTCCCTCCCTCTCCCACCAGCACTGATCCACTGGGTCACATGGCTCTAGATCCTTGGGGATGTGAAGTGGGTACACCACCAGTGGGGGAAACATTTTCTGCTCTTGAAAAATGTATCATTTGGTTGAGAACAACCAAAGCCTCGCTCTGGTCAACGTTGCTGCTGCACTGATCTTCCTGTTTTCACTTCCCAAGCGGCAGCATCCTTCCTGTGCCGGGGAGAATACTGGTATGCCGACTGAACATCTCAATGACACACAGTCTTTGCTCTGTTCTCCTGGAACCTGCTGTGGTCAGAGTATTCTAGTTTAATGAGCCACTGCTGACCCCGTGTGACATATTTTCTCTTGCCCATAATACTTTCCTTACATTTTTTATTTCTTAGAACCTAGAACTTTGAAAGGCTTACTCTTGAAAGTTGGGGTGAATTACACTGGAATTCAGTGTGGTCAATATGATTTGCACTCTTCAGAGATTCAAAACAAATGAATGGAAAAAGTGATTCAAGTGAACTTTTCTTCTGTTTGCTGAGAAACTTAATACGGCAAATGGATGGCTCTGATTATCCATGGAGCAGGATTTAGAGACACTGGTCACCTGAAGTGTCACTGCTCTGGATGATGTCTGTCACAGCAACGAGAGGTAACAAATTTTCTTGCCTCAAAATTCTGATTCAGGTAAACAGGAATCATGGTGGGGATTATTCCCTTTGTGAAGGAGAGAATTCTGCTGTAGTAAAAAGCACCTCTCCCTAATCTACCTGTTTTTGCCTCTGCATTTAGACACACTGGATTTTGTGAAGAAGCTCCTCCTGTGCTGTGGTCTTGTTGGGATGCTCTGGATGTGATGTGCCAATTACACTGTTAAAAAAACACCTCTTCCCCTCTGCAGCACTGGCTTATCTCTCTTCTCACTGTCTGTCGGCACTCGCTCTCAACATTTTCCCACCTTCTTCTCACTTGTCAACCTCCTGCAACGTCGCTCTTCTCTACCACGCCACTGAAGTGGCCTCACCAAGTTCATGGATATTCCTTGGCCTCTTTATCTTGCTTGATCTCTTAGATGTGTTTGGCACAACTGACCTTTTACCTGCTGTCAACACTTTGTTTCGGTTTCCATGATTACCATTTCCTCGTGCTCCTTCTACCTGAAAAGGTACTGTTTCTCAATTCTGCTTTACTGGCTCCTCCTTGCCTACTCAGCCTTTGAATGATGCTCAAGGCTTTGCTCTACACCCTCATCTTAGTCCACGTATTTTCTAAGGACACCCTTATCTACACCCAGGGCTTCAATTGCCACCAAACAGCTGTAACCCAATACACTAACACTTGTACTAGCCATTAACAGGGGAGGGAGGAGTGGTATATTGAAGCAGAGTCATTTAAAAAATCTCATGAGCTTTCCCCTCTCTCTTATTACCCTTCTGAGAGTCTGGTAAAGGGTTCAGACATATCTCAGAATCAAATCAGACTCCCTATCGCGGTCTATACGACGGTCTAGTTTCCTCTCCAGACTCCATCCACTGCCTCTTGCTCCCTCCTCCCCATATTCTTGCTTCAGCTGCACTCAGCTCCTCAGAGACATTATGCTCCCCTTACTTCCCAGCCTTTGCCTGTGCTCTTCCCCATGCTCGATGCTCCTTCCCTCTGTCCTTCACTCCTATTTCAGATCTCAGCTTAAACATTACACTCTCAGGAGGGTGATCCCTGGACCCTGATAGCCAGCTACATGCTCCCCGAGGACCCCGAGCCTCCTTTATCGTCACACCCGGCCGCCCTGTGAGTGACTGACTCCACACCAGTCTGTAACCCCAGCAGGGCAGGGTGTATTGTCCTGCTTCCTGCTGGTCAACAGGAAGAGCTTGGCACAGACAGAGTGGGCTGGGCCAGTGAGCTGAATTATTCATATTCTCTCCCTCCTGTAGCCAAAGTAAACATGGACAACTCTTCATTCTCCAAGGTCATGGCTGGCAATTCCCCTGCTCCCTCTTGCTGAGCCCTCACAGACCAGCCTCTCCTGACTGTGACGCACAAGTGAGTCTGGCATCCCCAGGAAGGTGACAGAGGTCACCGAGGAAGAGAGCTAGTAGAGGATGGGGCCCACGAAGTCCCGGTTTGGAGAATACCTGAGCTGGATAGTCAAAGAGCCACTGTTCCCTGGGCTTTTCTTCATAGGCAGTTACACCCTCTGTCATCTCATGCCTCACAGTGGCCTTCATGTGAGCAAGCACATGGTTCAACCATACTTCTACCTGAAGGAGGAACTCAGGGTTAGACACTGGGCTCCTAAGAAGACGTACTCAGTAATACAGATTTCTTCTAGTCAGCCTAGGGGAGTGAAGAAAATGGAGCCCAGGCGTGATGTCCAACCCTAAATGACCGCCAGAAGGCACAGGGAGACATTTCGTTTGTGTAACACCGGACAGTGACAGGTGAGAACCAGGCTCAATTAATGACAGGTGGATGTGCCCACTGGCCCCACAGGAGGGGCAGCAGGTTCAGGAGGTTTGGGGCTGCCACCCAGAATTCACACAGGGAAACCTTAACCTGGGCTGAGCTGGCGTAAACAAGTCAATGGACTGTCATGACATCGTCCACACTGAGGATGGAGACATAGGCCAGGATTACACTTTCCAACTAAATGCTTTCTGGGTCTACAAAAAGAACACTCAAGGTATGAGTCAAACCCAGGGGCCCTCTCATGAAACTGAGAGTGTCTGATTATTTTCTGGCACTAGAATTGCCTTCCAAGATACATGGTGATGAAGGTGGTAGAACACTGTAAAAGGTCTTTCTCCAGGTGTTACTCTGGACTAGATTAGAACTGCGGGCACAATGCTTTTTTGGATCATTTAGGACAACGAACAAAGAAGGGATCATACTTTAGTGGTGACAGTGAAAGATGGGAAGGCGTTTTTAGGAGAGAACCATTGCAAGCTTTGTGTTTTGTGAATTGTAGCTGGGAAACGAGGAGCCAGCAGCTCCTGGAGCAGGTGGCAGTTGGCCCTCCATGGGGCACAGCTGTGCAAGGTGGATTTGTACAGAGAAGTCACCTCTCAGAAAAATGGTCGATTTCAAAGGGCATTTTTTCCCAGGGAAGATGTCAGTGTCCCAGACCCCCTGAGGGGTGCTCCAGGGCTAGTCATGTGAACGTCTCCTGGTGCTGCTAATCATTCTGAAATCCTCTCAGGTAGTTGTTTACGTGCATTTTATTCCTCTCTGCACAGGTCTTTGGTTAAGGGAAATGTATGGATATTGACACATGTCCCTCCCGGAGAGGAAAGCGGGCACTGGAAGCTGCCCCAATGTTGGTTTGAGTCAAGGGAACTGGTCGTCCCAGGGCACAGACAGCAGTTCTGGCCCAACGTCACAAGGGCCATTCTGAAGGCTGATGCCATCTGTATGTGAGCGCAGACACTTGAGAGAGGAAGGACTTCTCCGTTACCTACCTGCCCACTGCAGTCACATGGCTTGCTGAAGGCCACGTACTCTTCTTCCTTGCTGTACATGCCAAGACTTATCTTGGTTGGTTTCCCACTGGCGTCTAGCTGGAATTGCATCTTGGCCATATTGTCAAAGAGTTTGGAAAGGTGGCGTTGAACCTATGACGGAAACCAGGCCAAAGGAGTGGAGAGCATGACCAGGAAGTCACTTATTGGCATTGCTTAGAGTCTACCCCTGGCAACCATCAGGGCGTTGGGTACCAAACACTTAGAAGGAAGCTTGTGGGAACAAAGAGAAGGTGAAGACGGGAGCCAACTGGATTGGGTAAAAGGAAGATAGATCTAGTGGGTATCGCTCACTAGCTACAAACTAATGAAGCTGCAAAAGTTTGGTTAATTTCTGCTTGATCTACTACAGATGGAAACAGATTGGAACAAAACGTGATGATTAATTCATAAGCTCTCTTCTTAAAGAAACACTGCTATAGGAGGAGATAGGCAGGGGACAGTCTGAAGAAGAATGCTAACATGCCCAAACCTGGAGGGTCAAGGGCAGTGGTGACAGTGGCCTGTGGAAGAAATGACTCAGTTGTAGGAACCACTCTGGTGTAGATCAACCTCTGGAGGGTCCAAAGCCAGAGTCAGCGTGCCCACACCGAGCAGAAAGCTTGGTCGTGACAGGGCTTTTCTCTAGCATGGCGTCTCGTGACACAGAGGCCCTTTACAGTGATGCCTTGGGCAGTAACTCTAGGACCGATGCTACACAGAGCTGCACTGTGGTCCTGAGATGAGAGGAACAGCAGGTGAAGAAGAAACAACAAACAGAAAGCTGCCCCTGGCAGAGGTTGTTTTTAATACAATGGTCTGCTGGTACCCTGAGTTGTGGCCCTTAGGTTTACAACAATGAGCTCTCTAGCTTATGAGACGAGAGGAAAAATTCTAAGAGTGCTGAAGTAAACTGTGAAGGTACTAGAGGAGATGCCACCCACAGTGACTCGGGGCAAATACTGGGATGAGACAGACCTTTCTTTATCCAAGGGCAAATAGCGGATTAAAACAAAAACAACAACTAACATGAGACCTATTAAGTTATCCCACAATTTAAAAAAAGGAGAAAGCAGGACTCAAGAGACAGAGTAAGCGTATACATTAGAAGCTTTAATAAAGCAAAAAATAAAGGAAAAAGAAGTAGTTCTTCTTTTAATAAAGGAAAAGAGGTAGTTATGAAAAATATCACATCATTTTGTTTTGAATTAAGCAAAAGAAAAACATGAACTCCATGAAATACGAGGTCAAAGGCAAGAAGAGTTGGTAGAGGTAGAGAAATAAGGAAACCAACAAATGACACAGCACAGTTTGGAACATCAGCAGTACAAAAGGACCAAATTAACACACACAAATTAAACATGGTGGATGAACTTGAGAAACTACAGAAGAACACCAAGGAAGAGGACTAAGAGAGAAAAATATGTATGGATATATGCAAATATGTATGAATATAGGAAAGTAATCATCTCAACTCATGGAAATATGATTAACGTGAGGGAAAAAATTATCCAGATGACTGGAATAGAAATATTACATAACAGCATACTGAAAGAAAACTTTTCCAAGACAGTGAAATTCCTAGTGAAAAACCTCATCACGTGTTAGAAAAATTAATAAAATAAAGCAATATCTTAACATATAGACATTTTCAAAAATTAAAAATTAATTTAAATGTTTATTTCTATAGAGATTTAACTAGAAAGAAATTAGGCTACCTAGAAAGGTTAAAAAAAAAAAGCAGGCAGGCCTCAGATGAATTCTCTGTAACAAGAAACAGCAGAGCTACGTCTTCAGAGATTTGAAGGGAAATTGCTGTAACTCATGACTTCCAAACCCAGCCAGCCACTCACGTATGAAAACTACAGAGTTGCAGGCACAGAAGGACTTGGGAACTGTTCTGTCCTTCTTCCTCTCCCGGGGAAGAGGGTGGGGGAGGACTGCTTAAAGATTTACTCAAACTAAGTAAAAGATAAATAAAAATAAACATTTAAGAGTGAGTCTATCATGTATTAAAGCCATGAAAGATCTGGCAATGATCCTTAACCCCTCCTATACACAGAATTAATGAAAATAAAGTTATGAGACAGAATGTCAATGTAATAAATATTTAAATTCCACCATATCTGGGCTACTTAATAAATACTTCAACCTATAGGGGAAAAGGGGCTTTAATTATCAGAGATAACCTCTTTTTAGTAATTGCTTCTTACCAACAAACCGAAAGCATCATTCTAATTGGTAAGAAAATTAATGACAAAGACAGAAAACTTAGGCATGGGTGCCATCTTTTGGCTCTGCTGGAGAAGCTCTCATCCATGACTGGTGGTGATTTAAGAGGAAGTAACTCCTATGGAGGGCTGGGTGTGGCAGTATCTAGTAAGACCACAAACGCATTTACCCTGTGACCTAGCAATGTCACTTCCAGAAATTTACCGGAAAGACAGACCTCCAACAATACAAAGCCTACAGTTAATTCAATGCCACATTATTTGTAATTATAAAATAGTATAAATAACCTAAGGCCAAACTATGGTATGTTAGACTATGGAGTATGATGCAGGTATTAAAAAAAGCGAGGAAGATACCTTTGAATTGATATGGGGTGACATGAAGTAATTCCTAAGACATGCAACTATGAAAAAAAAAAAAAGCAAACTGCCAACAAGTATATACAGCGTGCTGCCTTTGGTGTAAGAAAGAAGGGGAAGGAAGAAGAGGTATATGTACAAATGTAAATGCACATCTGCCTATTTTTTCAGAGATAAACGTAGGAAAGGGAAACCAGAAACTAATGGAATTGGCTGCCTCAGTGGGAGGAGGGGAGGCAGTGATGACCTGGAAGGAATGGGGGAAAGACTGCCATTTCTCACTTATTTTTTTGCATAGCTTTTCAGAATTCTATGTATTTAAACAACTAAATCAATGAGGATGGGAAACCCCTAAAACAGAAAAGTAAAAAGAAAGAGATGAACCCAACTATACTTCAAATGAGTAAAAAAGTCACACCAAAGGTGGAGACGAACTCACCCAAGGAACTTCTGCATGCAGTGTTTCGACTGTATACCCTCTGTGTAAAGGGTAATGAGAACCACAAACAAATCTTGAACCTTCTTTGGGTGAGAAGGGAGGGAAGCTAAAGGATCATACCGTAGAGACATCATCCTTCCTTCCTGTTGGTCATTTTGAGACCCAGACTCCATGGTCTGTAGCAGAGGTTCTCAAAATGTGGTCTTCAGACCAGCAGCAACACTTCTTCGGAAGTTCTTAGAAATGCAGATTCCCCAGCCCCACCCAGACCCGCTGAGTCAGAAACTCTGCGGGTGGCGTCTAGGAATCCGTATTTTAACAAGCCTTCCACGTGATTCTGGGGAACGTTCAAGTTTGAGAACCACTGTCTACAGCTCAAAATACAACAGTGCTTCCATTAGAAGATACATATACATATATATGTAGTTTTACTTTTTTCTTGTTTATTGAAATACAGTTGATTTACAATATTATATTAGTTTCAGGTGTACAACACAGTGGGTTGTACACACCATACGAAGTTATATAATACTGACTACATTCCTTATGCTGTAGGTTACATCCTTGTGGCTTCTTTATTCTGTAACTGGTAGTTTGTACCTCTTAATCCCCTTCTCCTAGTTCTTCTGTCCCTCAACCCCCCTCCCCTCTGGCAACTACTAGTTTGTTCTCTGTATCTGTGTCAGTTTCTGTTTTGTTACATTTATTCATGTTTTGTTTTTGAGGTTCCACATATAAATGATAACAGATGGATGAATAAAAGAAATACGGTGTGTGTGTATATATATATATATATATATATATGTATATATATATATATATACATAAAATAGAATACTAGTCTGTCATAAAAAAGAATGGAATCTTGCCATCTGCAACAACATGGATGGACCTAGAAGGATTAATGCTAATTGAAATGTCAGATAGACAAAGATAGATACTTTAATATTTTTTAAAATGGTAACATGGGAGGCTTCTATTTTAAGATAAGGAAGGTTTTGTCACACGGAAGTGGTATACCCAAGACTATATGGTTAATCAGTGGCTAGAACCCCAAATTTTGGGTTCCTCATACACACTCATATAAACCACCTCAATGTCCCATTAATACAACTTCCAAAATTCTCTCTCCGTGGAAATTTTAGCTATTACTTTTGCCCGCTATTTACTGTATCTCTCTTCAGAATCACATCAGAGGCACTCTCTGAAAAGGCTTAGCCCCTTCTGCCTTTGCCATCCTCAAAGCTTCTCTGTCTCTAGGGAGTAACAGCCAAAACTGGGCTGGAGGGGCACCCTGAGAAGCCACAGTGGTGGGAAGGGAGAAAGCTCTGAGGTTCGGGACAATGCGATGGCAACGCAGGTCTGAAATACGCACTCTGCCAGGGAGGAGGCATAACGGGGAACTGAAATTCTCCTGCTAGAGCTCCCTGGTCCTCTGGGTGTTTCTATAAGTACTTCCCCAACTTACCTGTTGCGGGGCTGTGCCATTGGAGAGGATGTCCAACAGGTCGGAAGAGGAGAGAAAGTAAAACCTAGGGAAGGCCAGCCTTTTGGTATCCAGGTACTCTGCCAGGGCCTTCTCACACAGGTGCAATCTGAGGGCACAAAGAATGTCCTAATTAAGTTGGCCCAAATGTACCCAGGTATAGGTACATAGACATCACCTAAAGGCAAACAAGGGCTACGTGGATTACACACAGAAATCAGCGCGTCGAACACATATGAGTGGGTGCGAACATCCACCCTGGTACATTTTCATCAGAATAAACACCTGTAATAATGCCCCAGATTATCCGAGCACACTGGCAAATCAAGGCACACACCAGACACACGCACTCTCTCACTGAGGCAGTTAAATAAGGCAAGGACCTTAGAGACAGAGAGGGGAAAGGGGACGCCGCCTCCTCCATTACACAAGAGGCTGCAAGCCGACCATCACCTGCTCTGAATATCTTCCAGTTTCTCATAAAGACCTGACTTGTTGGTGGCTTCCACTACGTTTGGAGTTTTCTGAGCATCATAAGCTAGCTCTTTAAAGTCATTGTCGATGCCTTCAAATCTTTTAGAATCCTGCAAATAAAAATGTGGAAAAGGTTAGCCATCACTCCCCTCAATGCCAAGGAGCTACCCTCAAGTCTGCTTCTGAAAGCTGGTCCTACATTGTCTGCTACAGATTAGTCTTAAAGGAGGGAACGCCTTTAGCTGGAAACAGTGTTCTCAAACATTTTGGTCTTAAAATCCCTTTATGTTTTTAAAAATTACTGAGGTGTGAAAAGAGACTTTGTTTATGTAGGTAATATTATATCTATCGATGTATCTCCTATATTAAAAGCTAGTTGATAAATTTTTAAAAACAACCATAATAATTCTACGTTACTTTTAGATCAAAATTATGTTAACATAATACCATGTTTTTATCTAAAACAGTTATATTTTCCGAAACAATGTAACTTAGAGGAAAAAGTGGCATCATTTCACTTTTTGGTGGTGGGGGGGACAAATCCCTTTAATGTCTGACTTAGAGGATGACCAGATTCTCTCCTCTGCTTCTGCATCCAATCTGTTATGACTTCACGTTAAGTAGCCTCTGGAAAACTCCACTGTATGCTCAGAGCAAAAGAGGCAAATACCATTTTAGTAGTGTTATTAAGATGGTTTTGACCTTGAGGATCTCCTGGAAAGGTCTCAGGGACTTCTCCACCCCCAGCGGGGTTACAGACCACACAAGATACATAACTCCTAAGTCAGGGAGAAAATGGACCCAGTGTTGTTTCTGGGTCCGTGCAAAAGTTTATATAACCAAAGTTAAGTTTTCCCACAGCAAATGTGCTGGCATGATGTCCAAGTTAATTAAGTATCATTTCCCCTAAACACACAAACCCTCACAGTGTTGTTGAAATGACTGAGACAATAAAAAATGCAAAGTACTTGAGGCCAACACCTGGCACCTGGTGAGCGCTTGTGTTGTTATTATTACATAACAATCATAACGGTATGTGCTCTGTGCCCCATTTTAATTAACTTCCTGAAGTAGGTACCAGTATTAGTCCCAATTTACATATGAGAAAATCAAGGTACTGAAAGGCTAAGTAACTTCCCTAAGGCCCTGCAGCTGCAAGTGGGAGAGTCAGAATCCAAGCCTCCCCAGTGGCCCCAACCTGCTGGGGCCTCTGTGACCCACGCCTTTCTCCCAACAAGATACAAAAACAAGAGGGTGGGGGTGAAGTGAATTATGACTCCACAATGAGATATTTTACACCAATTAAAAACAAAAAAGTGTCGAGGTGACAGAAGTATCAGAAATGTCCAACATAAATGTTCGAATGAAAAGAGCTGAATAGAAAATTGTAATTACATTGAGAGCAATTATGTAAAAACATATGTAGATGTGAACAAAAGTTGGGAGATATTCATAATGAATGAAAATATTTACTAGTTATGGTGTAAGATTATGACTGATTTTATTATATTTTGGAATTGTCTCTGTTACCATATTGTTAATACAAAGAAAATAAGTGTATTCACATGTTTTACACACAAACCGCAGACATCAGTGATGCGAATTCTTTACTATTTTTAATTGAAAGTTCTCAAACATCTCCTTTAAACCATCTACAAAAGTCTGCACCTACGTCCTCATCCTCGCCCCTTCTCATTAACCCTGTGCTTCCTTATTCACTAGCACTGGAGATAAATAAAATCTGGCTTATTAGCTTCACTTAATTACAACAGAGAGCAGAATTGTTTCTTTTTTTCATTGCAAATGTACAACCTTTAATCTGCCTTATTACATTAAATACGCTTTTGCGGCATGAGCTGGAAAAATACCATGTTTTGATAGAATGTGCTTTAACTTTCAAACAAGGTCTGGACAACATGTGACATTTTGGAATCAAATTGATTTGCAAGCAAAGAGCTTGCTATGCTGAGAGATACAGAAAGAGTCTGCAAAAAAATTTTTTTTCCTAATGAATTAAGAGTCCACTGAGAGGAGGTTAATTAATGGCACATGAATTAGGACAAATTAGAAGGGGCAAACCACTACAGGAAAGGTAGTAATGAGAAGAATGCATATTTTAGAGAAATTCCTCATTTAGCATTTGGCTGAAGACTGGTGCTTATTTAGCAAGTGGGTGCAGACCGGAGGTTTACAGAACAGCTTGCTGCAGAGAAGGAACTTGAGTTTGCCTAGAAGGATGCTCGCTTCCAGTCGACACCTGCACTGTAATGATCTGTGGGGCAACCCAAGAGCAGCTCGTATTTTTGAAATTTCTCTTGTACAATTTTGTTTGTTTTTAAAGCCAGGTTCTCCTTGCTTTTTCCTACCCATTTAAGGACAAACTGATGGGCACGCATATCACTTTCTCTCTTTTCTCCCACCTGACTTTTGGCTTGTAAGGTCAACGTTTGTTGGAGGTACCCTGGAGTGAAGCCAAGGCAGGAGGCAGAGGAGGAAAGGTCTAGAGGACGCAGGAACTGGGGGGTGGTCCCTTGACTCGGGGGAGGAAACAGAGGGAGCAGGATTTCCTTAGCTGGTACCTGGGGCAGCTGAGCCCGGATATCTTCAGATCCAATGAATATACTTTCCAGGTGAGACCATGTGCGCTGCACGTCAAACCAGATGGAAATGACAGCATCAGCGGTGGACAGCTTCTTCTGCCAGCCCGACACTTCCTCCAGGAAGAAAGCAATGTACTTGGACATCATCAGGTTCTGAAGTTGGACCTGGCTGTCCTCCAGAACCTCGATGAGGTCCTCGTCAGACTGCAGCAGGGGCATGCCGGTCCGTGGGTGGGGCTCGTACTGGAATTCCATGCCCACCCAGGTGGTCTGCACCTCCTTCAAGATCTTCTCCATGCCCATCTCCTTCACAGCTTTGTCCACAATGCCCCGGACCTCGTCCTCAAAGTGGTGCAGCTGGAGCTGCAGGAGGTGAGCCAGGGTGGTGCCCTCATCCACGGTGAAGCTCACGCCTGTGGCCTGCATCAGCTGCCTCCAGTGCCGCTCCCGGATGGCTGGGTTCTGCAGCTCGGCCACGGCCCTCAGGGAGGTCAGCGTGTTCAGCACGGTGGTTTCCAGGCCTGTGAAGGCCTCCCAGGCCCTGACCCCCTTGTCCAGGGCCCGGATGAGCCTGGCAAACCATTTGCACTCCAGCTCCATGGCCTCCACGTTGCTATTCCTCCATGGGGTGGCCTCCCAGGCGTGGATGCTGGAGGTCACCATCCCAATCACGTCCCAGAGCTCCTTCAGCTGGCGCATCTCCCTCCTACACTGCCTCAGATGCTTGTAGTCCGGCACACTGACCTCGAACAAGCTGGCGGACCTGGAAATGGAGGCCATGGTGGATTCCATCCGCTGGATCTCAATGTGCCTGGCATCCAGCATTTGATGAGGGTCAGCACTATCAAACCTACAAAACACAACGTTTTCCCTTTATCAGTAGGGCACACAGGGGCCATTTCTTAGAGTCACCCAAGTGATACTAGTTCAGATCTTTAAATGCTCAGTATTTTAGCAAAGAGCAGTGACTTTCACCAAAGCCTGGGAAGAAGACATTCAGGGTGGGGTGCGTGGGTGGGTTGGAGCGGGATGAGCATAACCAGTTGGAGGAAGGACAGTTCCAGAGGAGCGCCATGTTTGGATCTGTTCTTCACCTCTGAGATGGTAATAAAAATACTTCTCCCATCCCCCACTGCCCCCACAGTCCCCACCGCCCCCACCCAGACGTAGTGGGGGACACCCCTTGTTCAAGCCCTGGTTAGACTCTGCTTCCACTTGGTGGCCTCTGGATCACTTGACACAAAAGAGCGTTGTCATGTTACTGCAAATACTGTCAAGGCAAAGCTCCTGCCAGGAGCTGCTCGTGCTAGGTGGTCTGTAAGTGAGGTCACTGGCACTTGGACGTCCAACCCTTACCAGCTCTGGCATGGCTCCCTGTAGGGCAGTGGCTCTCAGTCTTGGCTGCATGTTAGAAACTCCTGGAAGCTTTAAATGATTCCATGCTCAGGCTGCTCCCTGGACTAATTTAGGATCTTTGGGGATGGGACCCAGGTGACAGAATTTTTCAAACTCCCCAGGTGATTCTGATGTGCCAGGTTGGTGCCCTTCTCTGTGGGGAAACTCACGCTAATGACCAGCATCACCTTCAGGGAACAGCACCTCCAGGTTTGAGAACCACTGAGAGGGTCCTTGAAATCTGAGCATAGGGCCCTCACTGTGTCCTGTACCTTCCCTCCCTGTGTGCCTCCCGTAGGGCTCCTCACCTCCTAGGAGCGTCCATCAAGTTGCCCCTCATCTCCTCCTGCCGCCTGGGGCAGCCTTTGGTTCTGCACTTGACTCCTGTAAGCACTGCACTGAGCTTCACAGTTTTAGTGCATGTCTCCTTACCCACCCTCTTTTCCCCGGTACTCACAGCACCCACTGCTGCTCCTGAGCCTCACCGGCGTTAACCTACTTTACACTGCTACCCCTCCAACGTGCATTGCTGGCAGAGCATGAGAACTGTACACACAGAGGGACCCACGTGGGCAGGTAAGGTTCTGAGGTCAGGAGCACCCAGAGCCTGAATTTTCCTCCCCCGGCATCCCTTTATCCTTTCCTCCCATCACAGTCTCAGGTTCTCTGGTTGCTGTGCGCTGGGAGGGCTAGATATTGGGGATACCATGACTTAAGTGTGAATACCATGTTTCTCTAAAATCAGAATAAGCACCACGGGGCTCATCATAAAGGAACTGTTGAGAGGAAAGAAGTGACTAGAGAACTGTTCTCAACCAAGCACGTGCGTGCGCGTGCGCGCATTTGTGTGTGTGTAGGTGGGGTACAGAGGGGAGAGAAAAGGGAAGAGGATGACCCACAAACGCCTTCTCTCAGTTGTCTTTGGAAATATTTGACTTGACGGATGGAAAGTAATCCTAATTAAAGTCATTTACCTGAACTGCTCGCCACTTAAGCATAATTACCATGCGACACAATAACAGTTATGCATACCATTAAATCAGTGTCAGATTAACTGTGACGCTTGCTACATTTGATTCCGGCTTGTTCCATCTAAATAGTTCTGGCTCCTGTGCTCTGGCTGTGGATTTTCATCTTAAGAGGATGAGAATGAACATCATCCCGCGTCTCACCGCTGTCCAGCTCCCAAGTGCTTCGGAATAGGCTGGAGTCCTCAGAGTTGAAGAGGGCCCTTTGTCTACATAGCCAAGGAGCTTTCTCCCTTGTGAGAGCCGTGGAGAAAGCACTAGAAGGAAAGAAACTAACACCCTCACGGCAAGTGGGCCATCAGGAAAGACTACTGAGCACGAACGGTCCTTCTGCCCAACCTTCGTTTCCAAAGACTTGCTGTTGGAGTATGTTGGTTCTACTTTCCATCTTGACTAGAGTGAACCTGGCACATGAACTTAGCTTCTTGGCATTAGTATGAGATCAGACAAATTCCAAGAGCCCACGTTCTGTCCAACTTATTAACAGAATATCACTCAGGAACATTAGGGAAGATAGGAGCTATGAGGGTCCGGCAGGGTATGCACAGAGGATAGTAAATGATCTTCGTAACTCTTCTTTCCCCAGCACATATGAACATCCTTGAATCAATATCAGTTCCTCAAATATTTGTAAGAGGTGATCATTTGTCAAACCTATTCCAAACTTCATTTGCCCTGTGGCATAATTTTTGTTTATAGTTTAAATTTGTGGACAGTCATTTCCTGTTGCTGAGCACACATAAAAGTTAATTTGACCTAAGCAGTGAAAGGAACCTCTAGACGGGAGAGCAGGTAACCCTCTTCCCATTTCAAAGCTCTAGTGCAAACTGTCAGGATATACACAGACCTGATTAATGTGCCTAATAAACTTGAAGCAGTTCTCCAGAGCCTAGGGGAACAATACGGCATGAGAACAAGAAAGTAACGGGAGGGAAAAGGGAGTAGTTAGTCTTTGAAATTGAAATCATAATGCAAAAGTATTTTAATCTAAAAGAGAAATGCCTGGAAAGTCTGGATGAATAAAGCTATAATTAAGAGAAATGGAAATACTCATGTGTGTGAACTTGGAAAAAGCGTTGATTCAGGCCCGACCTAGACCTGGGCATAGAGAGAGAGAGGAATAAGTGACTTAAACAAATCCCTGGGAAGCCGGCAGCTGGTAAATGCCAACCTCAGCACCACACCTGTACGCACAAGGAACAGCGCCACACCTCTGCTCAACACCCCAGAGGTATCACAGACCTCGACGTGCCCACTCGGGGCTGGTGAACTCTCAGTCCTCCCCATCCTGTGGCCCCATCTCAGGAGCAGTGGGATACACTGCCTTCCACCTTCTTGTCTAGATGGAAGATGGAGAGCCATGCACGACTCTCTCCCTGCCCCTCTCCCATATTCCATCAGTCCTGCTGGTTCTCCTCCTCCATCTCCCTCACATCCACCCTGCTCTCTCCCCATGCTCACTGCCACTGCTTCAGCTCAGGGCCCCCGCTTCTCACCCCGGCTGCTGTAATCACCCTCCCGTGGAGCCCCAGCCTTGAGTTTGTCCCGCTCCGTTCTGTTCTCTGCAGCCACGAGAGAGTGGTGTCTACATGACATGTGTTGTTCTCATGCTTGGACAACTCAATGCTCATCTGTGCTCAAAGCCTGGTCACTGGGACCCTCCATCCTCAACTCCCGCTGCCTGCATCCGAGCCACACGCACATGCAGTTCTCCACCTGTTTGTTCTGTTTCATCCTCCCGTGTCTCTGTATGTTCTGCTTCCTTGGCCTGGAATATCCTCGCTTTCCACTCCTCTTTTTGTTCCAAACAGCTAATTCTCACTTGCCCACTGGCTCAAGCTCCGTCTCCTGCAAGGGGTGTGAACTGCCTCCTCAGGGAGCATTAAAGTTGGCACTCAATGAAAATGTCTAGTTACTCATTTTTGAAATTGACCCTGAGGCTGTACGTCCTTGAGGTCAGGGGATGTGTATTACCTGAAAACCTCAGTATTTACACATTTGTTGCCAACTCTGCTCTTGAGACCACAACCTCTTGTGCTCCGTGGAAGCCTGAATCAAGTGAGTGAATCAGATTAACTGCAAGCACAGGGTCACGTAGAACCAATGACACGTCTGAGGGTACTGATGTGTGCCTGGGAGAGCTGAAGACCAATACCGCTCTTTTCTCCAGCTTTTGGAGAGACAACAGACCCTGCACAAGTACGACGAAGGCCCTTCTTCCCTCACGTTCGCTGCCCTGGGCTGTCTGGAAAGCCTGGCTTCCTCTGGCTGTCATGCCGAACAGCACCCAGTGGGTGGGTGTCTTCACGAAGGTTCTCCCAACCGTTCACAGACTCTGGTCGCTGGCCAGCTGGAAGCAACAATGGTCTCTCATAGGGAGCAAATGCTTCGGCTGAGAAACCCCTGGATCACCTTGATCCTGATGTGGTAAGAAGACTGGCTGGCATGGCATCATTCCTTAAGGCCAGGCCTGTGCTCAGGGGCAGGAAGACTGAGGAAGAGAAAACCACTGCAAGTGTGGAGCATCCCTTCCACTCAACGGGGAGAATAAGGCCCCAATTTTAAGAGTTGTGGCAAGTCCTTGAACCCGGGTGTGGTGATTCAGCCAATTACTGTGACGTGAGAGAGCTCCGCTGGGAATGTGCTGAGACAGCCTCGAGTTAAGAACAGGAGGAAGAAAAACTCAACTTGCACATGAAGAAAGGACCTCACCCCAAGCCACCTGCCTTCACCCTGCACCTGTCAGACCGAGAGCCTTCCGAGACACACACTTTCCGTTTCCTCCCAAAGAAGAGATCAATGTGAGCATCACCTGTCATCTAATCAGCAAGAGAAACTCGCACTCAGAGGACGCCCCAGGTTCTGCATTTTAGAAATTCGTGAGTGATCTAAAAGTGAAGGAGCCAGAACAGAACTCATTTGCCGCACACAGTATCTAAACATTTTAAACACACACATTCATGCACACTAAACTAAGAAACAAATCCATGAGCTGACACCCACCAAGATTTTCTTCAGCAATAAATCCATGATTCTGCTCTAGTTTTGACCATTTTCTTGACTAGAAGAGAAATACATCAAAATTGCGGTAATGTTTGGCTTTGCACACTGCTGTGAGCAGTTCTTTTCAAAGTATTCTCTTGCAAAGATTCATCTGCATGTTAAAGTAACAGATGTGAATTTGGAAAACCCAGCAAAGGGTAGCAATATCCTCACAGCCACCAGATACACGTGCTAAGAAAGAAAAACCAACGCAGCTATCAAATTAACAAACAACAAGAGCTGATCAACACACACACATTATATGACCACAAACAGGGGGTACCAGATTTCCATCAGACACACAGAAACACACCAGCAAACGAGCGCTGTTTCCTTTCAGGCAGTCTCAGAAGTCTGTTCGGGAAAATATTTCACCAAACATCTCTGGAATTCCTTTTTTGAATTTTTTTGACAAGACAGATGATGTAAAGATATCAGTGTCACCATTTTCATGGCTGTTGCCTTTGGTGTGGGTGTTGTGAACACTAAGCAGTAGTGCCAGCTTGGCCATGCACCTCCTTCTTCAGCTTTGGCCCTGTGTGATCAGTGCTGAACTTCAGACATTCAAATGCAGCCCCAAAGGAGAGTCCAGAGAACAGGCTTCAGACTCTGAAAGAACAGTCCCACAAGGAGTTCCACAAATGTTCTGAGCAGCAGATGTTTCTCTGGAACAGGGCACAGCTCCTAGGCCACTGTTCTGAAGGCGCACAGTCTCATTTGGAGTTTCATGCCCTGGCATGACTGCTTAAAATGGGACTAGTTACTCCCCCTTAGGCCAGCAGCCTCTTACTTGGCTGTACACTGTCATCACCTGGGGAGCACTACAAACTACTGATGCCCCGTCTCACCCCCAGAGAGTCTGATTTAGTGAGTGTGTAGGACAGAAGGAACAATGCAAGTTTTAAAATCTCCCCAGGTGATTTTACTGTGCAGCCAAAATGGTGGCCCCCTGCTTTAGAGCCCTGTGCTGCATGTTCATCTTAAGCACAGTTTATGTATCTGTCCTTCCCTGCCTCTTAGTGTACTGTCTTGTTCTCTCTAGCCACAAGTATAGTGTGTGGGAGATGGCAGGTGCTTAATAAATGTCTGATGAATGAATAACAATAGGTAGGCCATCACTGTGTGCCACAGGTGGGGTGACCAACAGCCTCAGTTTGCCTGAAACAGAGGGGCTTCCCTGAATGTGGGACTTTCAGTGCTAAAACCAGAAGAGTCCCAGGTAAACCAGGGACTGGTTGGTTACCTGAATGCCACGTCCTATACTAAAGACTCAGGAAGATTCATTATTTAATCCTATCACCAACACTCTGTGGCAGATACCATTACTAGCCTCATTTTGCAGATGAGGAAACGTGAAGCACAGAGATGTCATGTGACTGCCCTGACTTGGGCAGTGAGTAGTAGACCTGAGAGTAGACGCTGGGCTCGCCAACTCCAGAGTCCATGTACTTAATCATTATGTTGCATTTCCTTCCAATAAAGCTGTAATTTTTTTCCGGTTTCATCTGTTGCTTTAACATGCATCTCCCAATGTAAACTTTCTGTGAGTAAGTAACTCTTGAAAATGAAGTTTCCTTGTTCCTCACACAGGGCATTTTTCAGTCTGGAGTCTTCCAAGTCTATCTAACCGAAACTACAGACGAGACCCCAAAGGAAGTCCGGCTAGGAGAACAGAAAGCAAGTCCTGGAGCTGGGCTGAGGGGGAGCACACACCGCAGCTGGCACGCCACGACACAGAGCCACCAGAACCGGCTGGGCCTCCTGGCTGGAGCCCCAGCCCTGAGCAGCGGACCAGGAGCGACCCCGCAGAGCCCTCCACCAAGGGAGGGAGCCTCCGAGGAAGGAACCCGTGTGCTCGCACGCGGGCACCCGTGACCGGCGCTGCCTGTCCCAGCTGCTTTGTTTGCGGAAAGGCCCCTAACCACAAGCGGGGAGGCGGCTGAGCGGTACTGAGCGGAGAAAGCACACCTTGAAGTACATCCTTCACCTCGCCTCCTGCCCTGAGGCCACTAGAACGTCTTCCAAAATTGTTTTAAGACTCTACCAGCTGCTTTTTCAAAACAAAATAACTGGTCTGTGAGAACTTAGAATATGAACACTATAGTAAAAAATTGTCATTTGATCACATACAATCCCTTTATAGACCTGGAGACACAAAAGCCTCCACACTTTTTTTTTTTAAGGCCAAGCATTTGCACAGCCTTCGTCATCTTGGAGGGGCCACGATCGGACTGTGGACATCAGCACCATGTTCCAGCCGGTGGACCTGAACAGGAGGGAGGACTACTAACCAGTCTTCACCTGTTGTAGGGACACACGCGCTCAACAGAGAGCTCATCCGTGACTGGAGGGGGCCGTGCTGAAGGGACAGGAGACAGGGCTGGTGCCCTGGGCCCACACCTGCAGGGGGGCCGTACCTGCAAGGGGGCTCACACCTGCAGGGGGGCTGTACCTGCAGGGGGGCCGTACCTGCAGGGAGGGGGGGGGCCGTACCTGAAGGGTGCCTCGCGGCGGAGCCGCTCCCAGAGCTGCTGCTGCTCCAGCTCCAAGGCTGTGCACTTCTGGCGGAGGACGCCCACTTCATTCGCCTGCAGCGGGGCCACCTGCTGCCTCACGGTAATGGCCATCTTTTTTATGGTGTTCCATTTCTCAGGCAGCTCCTGCAAAGGAGACCTCAATGTGGTCAGACCCACACTGTGCTCCCCTCCCCGGGAGTCCTGAAGCTGGGGGTGCCTGGATGTCTTCATCTCTGCCACGATGCCTGGCTACGCTGTTGTGATATTGCTTGCCGGTTCCCGACAACTGCCCATTCCCTGACTTGGCTCCCCGGTTGCCCTCTCCCCCGCCTGTCACCTAATTCTGACTTAATACTATCCTTTTTGCCCTCAACTTCCAACCCAGTAACCCTTGCCCTTTTCTGTATTTTCTAAGGGTGCTTGGTTATTTTCTTGTATGCCCTTCTTCGAGCAACGTGACATTCCCCAGACCTGCTTTTCTTCCTCTGAATCAAAAAGTTGTTTTTCTCTAATTCTGAAAAAAAAAAACCCAAACACTTCATCCACATCAGTTCTCCCATATATCTCCAGCATTACGGTGTTTCATATTTACTGAGTTTCAAGATCGCGGTACACATTATACACCTAATTCCAAAACCCTGAGTAATCACCAAGTCCTGTTTCTCTCTTACTTCAGCCAACCTCATCCCACTCTGAAATCCCCAAACTTCCCCTCTGTTTCTTTCATTAGGAAAACATAAACTTTGCACTGACCTCCAGCTGCTTGAACACTGTCTCCGGCAATTCCTGTTCATAGGTCCTCAGCAGTTCAATAGTTTGCTTCAGAGGCTCAAACATCTCATCGGTGCTGCTCTGCCGTTCTTTAACAGCCACAAGGTGTCCCATAATCTCAACCAACCCTTTGAAATCGCCTTTTTCGACTTTCTTGAGCAAGCCATTCTCGCTATTTTTTATAAATGCTTCAAGGTCGGCCAAGCTGAGTAAAACAAACAGGACGTGAGGAGCCATCCTCTTCCCGCTCCTCGGAAGGAAGAGTTATTTATTTCCCCGACACTAGCAGCTATTACTATGGAAAACGCTCCATGTGCCCACACTCTGCGGAGGCTACATCCTGACCACGAGACACGGCCCTCTTCAGAAACGTCAAAGTCTCAAAGGACAAAAACTGAGCCCTCCATGATGGAGGAGACTCAGGAGACAGGGCGCGTTATTGGGACAACTGGTGACATTGAGTCAGTCCGCGGATAAGTTCCTACTTCTGCACCACCATTAACATCCTTGTGTCGATAATGGCGTCACGGTCCCACGAGATGTTAGCATTTGGGAAAGCTGGGTGAAGGTGAAGCAGAACTCTTTGTACTATTTTTACAGCTTTTTAAAACAACTTATTTCAAAGTATAATAATTTCAAAGTGAATATATGATGCGTTGTTTTGTGAATCTGAAATTATTTTTTAAAAAACTGAAAACAGTCTGGTCTCTATGGTTATATACACTTGGGTCTAGTTTTGATGCTCACTAGATGTGTAACCATGGCCAAGTCATTTAATATCTCTGAGCCTCTGCTTCCTCACCTATGAGACTGAAAAAATCACTTGTCTCACCAGTGCTTGTGAGAGTTAAGTGAGATTCATTCTTTAATTCAAAATGTTTATCGAGCATCTATACTAAGCCCCAGCATGCTTCTAGGTTCTGAGGACAGGAGGACAAGTAAGAGAAACAAAGGCTCTGTCCTTATGAAGCTCATGTCCTAGTGGGAAAAATTAACAGGAAATGGGGGGAGGGCATAGCTCAGTGGTAGAGCACACGCCTCGCATGCAGGAGGTCCCGGGTTCAGTCCCCAGTGCCTCTGCTGAAACACCAAATAAATACATAAATAAACCTAATTACCCCCCCAAATAAACAAATAAATACATAAACAGGAAACAGATCGATGAAACGCATGGGTACACTCAGTGATGCATGCAATGAGATGAGGGCCTAGAGGCTGAGGACAGGACTTTACACGGAGCGGTCAGTGGGGCCTTTCTACTGAGACGATGTCCTAGCAGCAATGTAAACAGCATGAAGGCGGGGGCGCCGGGAAGAAATGGGAAAAGAGCTTCCCAGGCTCGGGAGCTGCGTGCAGAAAGGCACTGAGGCTGGATTCAGTCTGATTTGTTTGAGGGAGAGGGGTAGCAGAAGCATGAAGAGGACAGGAGGAAGCATGGAGGGAGAAGCGGGCAGACAAGGGGCAGATGCTGTAAGGCCTACTGGCTGTGGGAAGAGGTTCAGATTTTGTTCTAAGTATGAGAACACCAAGTACAAGAATGGCATAACTTGATTTATTTTCAGAAAGAGCTGTATGTGGAGGAGAGAGGACTTCACTGGTAGTGGTGCTGGTGCTGGTGCTGGTGCTGGTGCTGGTGGCATGGATCAGGGAGACAAGAACAGAAGCCAAGGGGGCATTTAGGGACTATAATGGTTGTTCGGTTGACAGAAGAGACTGGCTTTGACCTGGATGGTGGACATGAGAAGCGGTCAGATTCAAGGCAGTTTTTTGGTATGTAGAGCCAGGAAGACCCACTGATGGGTTGGGGGAGAGGTGTGAGGGAATGAGAGAATTCAATAAGGACTGCTGGCAATGCAGTAAATGATGATGCCATTTAAAGAGATGGGGAAGACGGGTTTTTTTTTTTTTGAGGGAGAACTGGGAGAGGAGTTTGTTTGTTTATGTTTTTTGGGGAGAGGAGTAATTAGGTTTGTTTATTTTTTTAATTCATTCATTTATTTAATGGAGGCACTGGGGACTGAACCCAGGACCTCATGCATGCTAAGTAATCACTGTACCACTGAGCTATGCCCTCCCCTGCTGCCTCAGGAATAAGTTTTAAACACGTTAGGTCTGAGGTGCCTCACAGACACTAGACACCAAAGGGAGGTATTTTTTACACAGTTGAATGTAAGTCTAGAATTCCTAACAGGTGGGGCTAAAAACGTAAATTTGGTAGTTACCAGCACACAGATGTATTCAAAATATTAAGTTAAATATCACCTAGAATATGACTGTGGATAGAACTGAAATTCCGGGATTGAGGTATCGGAAATTCTAGTATATTAAGTCCTAGAAGAGGAGGTGTGCCAGCCAAGGAGACCATCAAGGCATAACCCGTGCGATAGGAAGAAATAAGAGAGTGAGGTATCCCAAAGAAACAGTCTGGGAAGGAGGGAGTGATCGGCTGGGCCAAGCACTGCTGAGAGGTGCCAGGTGAGAAGACGATCGGTCATCAGCCCCGGATGTGGCCCTCTGAAGCTCAAGGGGGAGTTTGACAAGAACGATTTCAGTGGAGCAGTCTAACGAAAGCCTGACTGGAGGGTGGGTTGGAGAATGGTGGACCTCTGTTTCTAGTTGTGTGACGTGCACGGTAATATGAATGACTCTTCTGCTAAAACAATAACAATGCATACGTGGCTATTTCAGAATCATTTAAAAATGTATCACTGAGGTGGCATGAAATTAAGAAATCTCCAGAGGCTGAAAATGCAGTGAAAGCAGAAACCCTGGGAGGAAAGCAAGGTTCAAAGCCGTCCTGCACGGGGTAGTTTCTACTGAACCCTGGGACCCCGAGCTGCTGCTCCGAGGCTTTATGAGCTGTGGGGAGGAGACGACTAAGCCCAGGGACCACACAAAGTGAGGAAGCTAATGGGAGGCTGTATGGGAAGTTTCAACACCACAAGAGTGAGCAAGCAGTATACACACTGCACAGTAGGGTGCGGCATGGAAACGTGCCCGTACTGGCCTAGGCACTAGGTGGACTATTCTAAGCTGACGTTCAAGTGGTCTAGGGTTGGAAGAGTCCCTTGAAGACTGGCAGGAACAAATGAAAATCATTCCTGGAGCAATGCAACAAGAATCCAACCCTTAAAGGATGAAACTCCAAGGAACATGATTTCATAATCCAAAGTCACAAAATAGGCAAGGAAAGAAGTCACCATGAGTGGGAGCCAGCAGAAACAGCAAAATCAAACCTGTGAAGATTTCAGATATTGGATCTCAGATGCAGAATATAAAACAGTAATAGTCAATAAGTCAAAGGACAAAAAGAATTCTTGTTTAGGGGTCTTGCTTTTTTGTTTGTGACCCACACGGCAAGAGCAAGTGCCTTCCCTACAGTTTCCCAGGCATCTACTGGAGACTGACCAAGAAAAGCAATTTCATCCTTTTAAGCATGATATATGCTTAAAATCACCCATCAGAAGCCTAGATAAGCTCTTACCTTCTCAATAATAGGTCACCACCCCTGCCCCTGCCCCAACTTGCCTTTAAGATCTATCTCAGAGTCAGGAATGAAGGTGATTTCAGAGGTTCTCCAAATACAGTCAGGATCTGTGGTAGTGTGGACCTTTGTATTGAATAATGGATTCAAAGAAGTGACAAAACCTACTGAAGTGGGTAACATGAAAATTATGGCCTGTGATGGCATTACTATGTGAAAAGAAGCTTTTAATATGTGTTCTAGCAATGCAAAAATGATCATACTGTGTCATGTTAGTGGACAATTCCAGGAGAAAGAAGCTAATAATTTTCTGTAGGCCTTTATGTTACCTTTGATCTACAGCATGAAGAAACAAACCATTTTTAAGGTGAGAAGTCAAAAGTTATCTTGAGATCATCCTCTAGTATATGTATTCTAAAACTTGAAAAGTGAAAAAATAAAAGAGAATGAATTTGGCAAAGAACAAGAGGGTATAGAAATGAATAAACAAAACTGTAAAATAACCAAATACAAGATCTAAAAATGCAAATTATAATGAAAATTCAAAGCTCACTGAATGAATTAAACAGGCAATTTAGACAAAACTGAGAGAATCTGACTACTGTATGATAAAAGTAGAGAAACTATTCAACTGCAGTGCAGAAATACAATAAACTGCAAACTATGAAAACTGTTCAAAGACATAGGGGATACTGAAAAATGTATACGTGTAATAAGAGCTCTAGAAGGAGGTGATACAGAGAATGGGCAAGAAGCAATCTTTGAGGAGATCGTGGCTGAGAATTTTCTTGAATTAATGAAAGACACCAAGTATTAGATCAAGGAATCCCAACAAATTCAAGGTGGAATTAATATAAAGAAACCCTCACACAGGTACTTCAATATGAAACCAAAAATTTTTAAAAATCATAAAATTAGCTGCAGAGTAAAGATACACTTCTATTAAAAAAAAAAAAACTAAACAGATGGCTGGCCATGCAACAGCAAAAATGAAGCCAGGACACAAAGGAATAATATTTTCAATGGACTCACAGATAATATCTCTGATCCTGGAATTCTCTCTTCCACAAACAAGTTTTTTCAAGAATGAGGGCAAAATATATAAATTTCCAGACAAAGAAAGAAGGAGAGTTCCACCAGCAGGAACTTACTAAAGGACTTTCTAATGGCTATACCTCTGGTAGCAAGTCTGTAATGTAGAAAGATGGAATGAGTGAAGATATCGGTAAATATGCAGGTAAACTTAAATAAACATTGAATGTACAGAAATAAAGTGTAATTTGCAGAGTTTAGATAAATAATAGAGAAGAATTGAAGTTACTGGGAATGATAGAATATAATTTGGGTTAAATGGTTGAGATCAAACCATTCTAAAGTCGTACTGGTTGTGAAAAGAGTAACAGTACTATTAAGTTTATTTCTTTTAAGAATGTTTTTAAAACTGGCTATGGTTAACCATTAGGACGGTAGACTTAGCACAACATCCAAATAAGCAGAAAGGAAAAAATGGAAAAAGAAAAAGAAAAGAGAAAATATCAAAAAATTCAACCCCAAAGCAGGCAAGACATTAAAAAGAAAAAGAAAAGAAGAACAAACAGAAACTACACAATAAAATTGTACAAATGAATTCAAATACAGTACAACAGACATTAATGAACAAAACCCTCCAGTTAAAAGAAAGATATTGAGGTAGATAAAACACTCAGCTCCATGCCAATAATAAAGATCTCTTGTAATACAAAGGCACAGGGAGACTGAAAGCCAAAGGATAAAATGAGAGA